CCATCTCGTAGGCACCCCCTTCCAGCACAGGTTGGTGAATGACTTGTTCTTGGGAGCAGAAAGGTAGCTGCCTGTAAATATACTGGGGGGTGAGCTGAAAAGGGAGTAGTCACGTCAGGGAAACCAGGTCCCAGAACTTACCAGGCACACCAGGTCAAGGAGGGGGAGACACCCTCCTCTGGGTCCATAACGTGATGGGCATCAGACACTGGTGGTGTGGGGATCCCCCCACTCAGTCCAATGACCAATTGGATGGAGTGTTTTGGCTTTATGTGTGTGGCCTTCTCTAGGATACGTGACACACTAAAAGCTGTGGGCCAGGGGTCACATGCTCTCTTCAGTGGTCGGAGCAGGAGCAAGCTGCAGAGAAGCGTGGCTGGCAGTTTGTCCCCCACCACCCGTGGGCAGGACAACAACAGCTGGGTCAGCAGCTCTGCTCTGTTCTGCTTGTGAGTGTGCCTTGTAGATCCCATTCCTTAAATATTACCTGGCCCATTGCATCAGCGTCCTGCTTTATCTCGGTGTCACAGCCTCACATCAGCATATCATCTGATACCTGGTGTGAGGGGTCAAGAGCCTACAAGAAGAGGGCTCTCTGAATGTCCCTGTAGCTTTGGCTTAGGTTGGTCCCCTGCTGATGACACTGTCTGCTCCACTGCCTGCCCATCTCCCAGTTCACCCACTTGAACCTGGACCTTAACTTGCCGCTTCCTGCCCTTGGACCTGGAAGAGCTTCACTCTTGAACCCCACCTCCACCAGCTCCAGCCGCAGCCCCCTCCCAGCATGGTCTGGTTCCTTATCTTATCCACACCCACTGTTAACTCACTTCTGCAACCTCCTGAACTCTGCTGCAGCCTCTGTAACTTGTTTTCATACGTAACCATATATAACATGTGTAGTATAGATGCATTTATTATATATTGTGTGACATGAGAGTTAGTATTATTAAAGTTGACACAAAAGAGCCCACGGTTGCCTCAGCCAAGTTACCAAAGCAGGCAGCACGATATGGCAAAAGCTGCCATTGAAACGACACCTGTCTACATGCCTGGCATAGGCACACTCACAACACTCATGGCCTGAGCGTCAGCGGCTTATGTGAAGCTTTTTGTCTGCTGGTCTCTGTGTTTGTCATCTCAGTACATCTGCTTCTACATAGCATAAGAAGGGCTGAGATGCATCAACCAGGGACCCAAAACCTTAAGAGGCTTTGTGGACCCCACACATTTCAGAAGAGCAGATAGGGACAGGAGCAGCTGGTTTCTATGGTGACTCTTGGAGGATGGAGATGGTCGTCACAGGTATGAGACATGGAAGGGTGTTTGGAGGATAGCAGGCACAAGATCCCAGAGGTGGGAACAGCAAAGGCTGTTGTCTGAGGATTCCAAACTGCTCTTCTGGGATAGGGGGGCCTGGGAGAGAGGGTGAGGTGGAGGAGAGTGTGGAGAGGGAGGTTGGGGCATGAAAAATTGCTTATTGAAGAACAGATGGGTTGAGAAGGAGCAGTACGCACATTTCAGAAAGAAGGGGTGACTGCAGGAGCCTTGAGGATTCCCTCCCACACTGAACACCTCTCTGCACATAGTGGGACCAGAAGGACAAACTGTTGCCCATAGTGACAGCACAAAAGCTCATGAATGGCTACCCTGCTGAGATGTGCTTCATGCACCTGCTGGGGTCACCCAGTGTGGCACACTAGACTTGGTGGACTCTCAGGGGCTTGCCTCTGATTCAAACCCCAGGACCCTCTTCAGGGATCTGACCTGGAGCCTCCCACCTCTTCCCTGAAGGCGTTCCCCTCAGCTCTGCACTCACTGGGAACTGTTCCTCAGCCTCCTGAGCGTGTGAGCGGTAATTATGACCCTATGGTACTTCTGTGCCAGCTGTCTCCTGCCTCCCGGGATGTCTGGGAGAGATTGGCCAGGGTCTGGATAGTGGAACACAGCAGAGGAACCGTGGGGCCAGGTGTGGAAGTGCAGCTCCGTGAACCGGGCAAAAGCCACTTCTCTCCGACCACACTCATTTCCCCAGAGGCCACGTGCCTGGAGCTCCTTCCTGGATGGGGTTTTGTGTCTGTTGACTTTCAGTGTGTGAGTCCTGGACCAGTAGAAGCCCAGCCTCAGTGTTTTGTGGACTCTCTGTGACTCCCTCCCTCATCCTGTGCCCTCTCCCTATTCCTTTCTCATTCCCACACCATCAGCATGCTTGGGCTCATGGAGGCCTGACTTGTTAATCTGTTCTCCAAACCTCTTAAGCATCTGCAAGACATCAGTCCTAATCCTTGGTTCTCAGTCTCCAGAGACGAGAGAGAAGTTGATGGGTGTTGCTCATCTCTTCATGCAGGGTGATGGGTCATGGTTCAGATGTCATTGACTGCCATGCATCCAGTGATGCATTGGTGCTGGGAATGGTGCTCCAGTCCCGTTGAGAGATTGCATCCTCAAGAGCTAAGTCAGAGGGTCATGCTGGGGGAAGGTACATAAAATGAGGGTCTGTTAGTAAGGAAGTAGGCGGTCGGTATAGGGGTGAGTAGGTTGTTTTGGAGTATGCTCATCAATACAAAGGTGAGCTTGTTAGTGGGGAAGTGAGATGGTAATTACTGGGGTGGGTTAGTTATGGGACTGTGTTAACTAGTAAAAGAGCATGCCAGTTAGTATTGAGAATAGGTCTTCCAGCAGTAGAGTGAACTGCTTAGTATGGAGTACATGAGTTATCTTGGGAGGGGACTAGTTGTCTTCAGAGCAGGCTTGTTACCATGAGAATGGCCTATTTACCTCAGGAGTGGGTTAGTTATCTTGGTAGCAGTCTATTTACCTCAGGAGTGGGCTAGTTTTCTTGGGTAGAGATTCCTGCTAGGAGTGTGCATAGGTCTCCAGACCAGGGGTAGAAGTCAAATCCACAGAGAAGTCATAACTAACTCATACTGTCCATGGGCTAGAATGAGAGAGTGAAAACAGCCTGAGCAGAGGTGAACAGTAGATAGACAGATTCACTGAAGAAAGCCTTTCCAGCCCAGGACTGAACCCCCTGTGTTCCACATCCCTCTGTGGAGCTCTGGGGATTCCTGGAAACAATGTTAAAACCCCTGAGTCTCCCTTGTTCTCAGAGGTTGCAGTATTAGCTCTGTCAATTTGACATAACCTAGAATTACCTGAGAAGAGACACTCAGCGAGAAATGGTCCACGTTGTGTTGGTCTGTGGGTGTGTCTTGTGAGAGAATTCCACTGTGATAAGACCAAGCCCACTATGGGTGGCACCATCCCCTAGGAGGGGTTACAAATCATGTAAGAGAGATGAAATGGAACTGAGCACAAGCAAGCAAGCAAGCATGCATGCATCCATCTCTCTCTGCTCTTGACTAAGGCTGTGGCATGACCAACTGCTTAAACTCTCCATGGCTGTGACTTTCCCATAGTGGTAGACTGCACCTGGAATTGTCAGCTCAAATCAGCCCCCTTTTCAGGGTATTTTATCATAGTAACAGAGATAGGACAGTGGCCACACATCATTAGTGTGTTAGGTCCCAAGATGTTATCACTTCTGCCCAGATAAGCCAGGGGCCATCGTGGGGTGCTGGAGTCCCTCCGGAGCATCTCATTTCCCTAGTATGGGAAGGCTGCCCTTCCTCTTGTTCTTCACTGACCTCTGTCCCTTTACTGGTGGCCTGTGTTACTGCTCTGAAGACCCTTGGCAGGGCTGGACCATCATTGGCTTTTCCACAGTAGGTAGAGGAGGGTTGAAGGACAGGGAAGACAGAGAGAAGCATTTTGAGTATCTCTTGCCTTGAAACAGAGACCTGCTTGGGTTCAGCCACTGGAGGGACTCATCTTCTTTTAGTTTTTGTAGTACAGGCTCAGTTTGCACAGAGCTTCTAAATGACTGTCCATAAGGCTGTCATTTGTATCACTCACTTTGTGGTAGAAGCCACTATTTTCCCTGATCGCAGTTCACATGAAAACATGTAATTACAACAATCTTTGAAATGACACACTAAGAGTGAACTTCATTAAACCTTAACCTGCTCTCAGTTGTGACTCTGATCTGGGTCTCTGGGAAAGATGTCCTCCTAGAGCTTTATTACCCCTCTCTCCTGACTCATCAAGCCCTGTTGATCCTCCCTCTTTAGCCACTAATTAAAATTCCTTTTTACATACTGTTTCATTTCTTTTATGTATTAAGAACATATTATTAAGTGAATTTTGAAAATAATACCTTTAAAGTCTATCTATCAATGGCTAAAAAGGAGGAAATTGAAGATACCCTAACCACCTAGGAGAGAATTGCACGGTGGTTTGTGTTGCACTGTTTCTCTTAGTCTTTGCTTTTCGGTAGATAAAATGCTCCCTCCCCACTAAAAAAGCACAAGGAAGAAAGGAAGGAAGGGTGCATTTTGGCTTGCACTTTGGGGTTGTAGTCTCTCATGGTGGCGAAGTCACAGCATCAGGAGCATAGGCAGCTGCTCATACTACATCCACAACCAGAGGTAGAGGGAGTCTGGGACTCAGTTGGCCTTCTCCTGTTTTATTTAGTCCAGGACCCCAGCCCGTGGAGAGGTGTCTCCCACACCCATCTCAACCAACTTTACAGACATGCCTGAAGTTTGTCTCCTAGCTCATCCAAGATCAGGTCAAGGTGACAGTTGAGATTAATCACTGTACTTCCTAAAAAAATTGAGTTATAGCCTCCTTAGGTCTCTATAGCTTGGGTGAGGGAAGAAAAGACCTTGATCCCAATAGGGAAAGATGAAGAGAGAGGATGTAGGTGGTGGGCAGGCTGCTAGACACCTACCCATGAACTTGTCAATGGGTTGTTGCTTGTTCTGGGTCTCTTTTCTTAGAGATAACTGTTATGGTTCATGGGGGTCACACCACCCCTGTCCCATATCACATGCCCTCATCAACTTCTCCCACCATAAGACCTCACATTCCCCTATGGACTCCTGCCTGTGGGGTCACACACCCTGGGCCTCACTGTAGAGGCAGAGAATCTGTAGCTACATGTCCTTACTGAATGCCTTTTAGACCAGGGATGAGGACAACAGTTGTTTACCACAACCACAGCTCCCACTCTTGGCCAAGCCAAATAATTCTGGACTTTACATTCAGATGCCCACATCTCTGTGAAGTCATCAATTCCATGATGCACCTGTCCTTCTCTTATCATAGAGTAACACAAAGCAGCAGAGGTTCTTACTAAGTGACCTTATGAGTTGGCTGGAATCTCCAACAGTATGTTTAGAGATGGACCTGGACTTGGGAGTCATTAGCAAGAGAATCTGACTTCCATCTCTCAGCACACATGCCAAGCCAGGTGCAGTTGCACACACCTACAATCTCAACACCAGGAAAGTGGAGACAAGAGCATTCTGGGAACTTGTTGGTCAGGAAGTCTTGTGGGATCAGAGAGCTCCAGTTTCTGTGAGAGACATTGTCTCAGAATATAAAGTGGAGAGAGATTGGGGAAGACGCTAGATGTGGCTTATACATGTACACACACACACACACACACACACACACACACACACACACACTATTATTGCTTATGTTCCCTGGTGAATTCTGACTACTACCAGGAGTGGGGTGGCTGGCTTGCTCTTGAGAGCTGGGGCCCTGTGCTGTGCCTTGCATGGCTGTGGCTCTTCACTGTGCCCTGAATGGCTGGAGACTTTGTGTCAAGACCATGCCCATGCCTTTCCATTCTCTTTTTGAATGTACATAGACAGACAGAGTGTTATAGCCAGTCTGTCCGATGCCTTTAAAATGTGGCTTACAGGTGTCTCCTAACATCTCATCAGCCAGAGTCTCACATGGCCAAGTCCAGGTCAGGGAGCCATGCCAGTCCTCTGGAAGGGCACTATCTCATGGTTCAGAGTGTGGAGTTGTTCAAATGCAACATCCCAAAGAGAATCCACAAGTCCATTCCAGGGTTTGACCTGACTTCTCATAGTTCCATCTGAGTGGCTTGTGGTCAAGGACAGACTTACCTGAGGATGAACTAGACATTTTCAGACACATTGCAAGCCAGTCAGACACGGGTTGAAATCTTTAACAGCCCAAACAAATTTGAATCTTCTGCCTTGGAATTGTTCCTCTCTTCCCAGGGGGGCAGAGGAGGATGGCGGCATGTGGATATGACATCATTGGGTGTCTTATTTGAGTCCTGTGAGTGGATGGATGGCTAGAGGTGAAGCGCAGACATAAGCCTCTTAGATGCATTGTCAGAGCCATCATAATCTCTGGCGACATATTTAACCAGCTCACGTTCCTCTCAGAGTGGCCCAGCATGCCACATGTTATCAATGCTTGCCAGCCATGGCTCTGGCGTGCTGAGGTGCAGGTGACTTTGAAACAGAGAAAGCATCTTTTGTACCTGGGAGAATGGCAGGGTGCAGACCACTGAACTTTAGAAAAAAAAATGCACTATCGCTTCAGACAGATCTGATCTTGGCTTCTTCTTTTTTTCTTAAAGAGAGAGAGCTAAGGATTATTGCAGCTCTGGTCTGGAAGGATTCCTGGGCTCCTGCACTGTACCTACATTATCTGCCTTCCCAGGAACCTGTAAGCCAATGTGGCAGACCAAGATCCCCCATCCCTCAGATACCCTCAAGAGAGCCAATCCATACCTCCTCAGAGGCCGTCAGTCACTTCCCTCTAACTAGGAGATGGCTTAGGAAAGCTCTGCCTTCCAGGGCTCCTGGAGAGGATGTGGTGTGATGGGGCCAACTGAAAGCCAGGAAGCCTGAGCTCTCCCCGGGCAGAATGTGCTAACCACTGGCAGGGCACTCCCTGCTTTGGAAAGTCACCCACGGGTGACTTGAACCACCCCAGCATTAACTCCAGGCCAAGGATGCCTGATTCCCAGGTGCCTGCTTTCCCTGTGATAGCCTTCCTGTTCCTGAGAAAAAACTTCAGAAAATGTGTGGAGAGGGGTCAGAGAGGGGAAGGAAGGGAGCAAAGGAGGAGAAGGCAGATTCAAGGTTTCCTCAAACATCTGAGCCACCACCAAGAGGCTGACACGAGGTCTTCTTTATATGAAACTTTTTAAAGAATGAGGAGCACTGCTCCAAAGAAGACATTAAAATGGCCAATAATTATACAGGTGACAATGTTGACACCCTGAGCTGTTGATGAAACACAAGCGGAGTCGACTCACCCCAGGCAGAAAGGCCACCGAAGAAAACACAGTAAGAAACGCTGATGGGAAGGGGGCTTTATACACTGTTGGTCGGGATGTAAACCAGCGTCCCTGTGCCAACCAGCAAGCAGATTCTTCAGAAAGCTTACCGGGGTGTTTCCACACACCCCAGCTGCACCAGGTGGAAGAGGTAAGGCAGAAGTTAAGGATGCAGCAGAGATGCCCTCTCATCCTGCTCACCACAGCGCTCCTCACGACAACCAAGCCCTGTAACCAGCCTGGGTGTCCACTGGTGGATTAAAGAGGAGGTACACTCTGGGGTGTTCCATAAAGAAAGATGAAGTTCTGCCAGTAGATGACGATATTAAAAGAAATAAGCCAGGCTTAGTAAGATGTGTAATTCAAGTTGAGGTGAGTGTGTGTGTGTGTGTGGGGGGGAGGTAAGAATGTAGGTGAGAGGCAACAGAAGAAGGAGAGGAGAGGCCAATACAATCACATGTATTTATGTACATATGGAAATGGCATGATGAAACTCAGTTACTTTGTGTGTGTGTGTGTGTGTGTACATGTGTATGGGATTGTACATACATGTGGAGGTCAGGAGTTGACATTGCTTTCCTCCTCCTTTTGAAAGCATATTATTGAGTGTGTGTGTGTGTGTGTGTGTGTGTGTGTATGTGTGTGAATATGTGTGTGTGTACACACATATTCACACACATGCCTGTCTCTTGGAATATGTGATATGTGTGGAGGTCTGAGGACAACTTCATGGAGCTGCTTATCTCCTACTTTTCTGGGTTGTGGGTATCAGTCTGAGTGGTCAGGCTTGAGCAGCAGCTCCATCCCCTACTGAGACACCTCACCACCCCCTACCTTGTTTTTTGAGACAGGGCCTCTCATTGAACCCAGAGCTCACCTAATTCAACTGTCCTTCATGGACAGCGGACCCCAGGGATCCTCTGTTTCTTCCTTCCCAGTGAGAGCAGAGAGCCCAGAGCCCAGGCAGGGTGGGATTTTTATCATAGCAGAGGTTGGGGTGAGGGGATTTCCAGGGTGTAGGACCCTGATTGGCTGGCATTTGTCTAGGAGTAAAGGGAATTTGGAATGTCAGGTATTTCCCCTTAGACATAGGCCCCACCTGGTGGGGGCAGCTCATGCCTTCTCCTGGGTCCCGTGTTGCCCGACAGAAGCTGGGTCTGGGCCTCTAAGCCTTTCATGACAGCTGTGTGGTCAAGCTGTTTTGGGCCCTCCCCTCCACATTTTTACTTTGTGTGTGTTTTACTGCGGTGCCTGTGTGTGTCCACATGCTCATGAATGTCCTTGAAGGCCCTTGAGTTACAATAACAAGTGGACATAAAAGGCAATGATGCTTAGAAAGGATCGGAGGAGTCGTAGCTTGGAGAACCACAGGCTCTAGGAAGAGTCATGCGGGGCCTCAGCTTATCTTGAACTTCCGTTTGGAGCCAGGCCATCAGATCGCAAAGATGATCTCCAAAGGAAACGGTGAGAGGTGCTGCAGACACCCACCCTCCAGACTCACTGCCTCCTCCAGACACTTACAGGAAATGCGTATTTGTGTCTCACTGCTCTGGTTAGTTTAATGTCAAGGCGACACAGGCTAGAGTTGTCTGGGTGAGAAAATGCCCCCACCAGACTGGCCTGAGGACCAAACTGTGGTACACTTCTTGAATGATGATTTATGTGGGAGGACCCAACTCATCCTTGGTGGTACCCCTGGGTGGGTGGTTTGGGGTGCTATAATAAAGCTGAGCCAGCTGTGGGGAACAAGCTGTAAAAACCCTGTTTCAGTTCCTGCCTCCATGTTCCTGACTCCCCTGGATGACGGAGCACACACTGTCAAGTCACTTCCTCACCCAGCTGTCTCTTTGCCATAGTTTTTATCACATCAATACAAAAACCAAACTAAGACAACCACCTTCAGGGTTTTCTGTACTGTGAGAGACATTCGACTCCTGAAGGTTCCTGTTCTTGTGGGTAATCCACACTGGGAAGGATGGTGGCCATGGGATGTATACAGGGGAGCTGTGAACACAGGTGGGATAGTCCATGTCACCAAATGGCCAGTGGCTGAGTGGCTGGGATGGCTGGATGCAGGTGCCTGGGTCCTGGCAGTGGTTGAGTGCCCGCATTGACACGAGGCCAAGACTCTTCTCTGGGGCCAAGACCACTAATGTTGGAGAAGGAGTTGGGGTGGTCAGTGGGAGAGGATACTGGTCTTTCCCAGGAGTGTGGCCACACTCCCAGGAACTTTTCTACTAGACCTACTCAGTAGTTTTATATTGCTCTAATAGTCTATGTTCAGTTCTGTTCTGTTCCATTGTTCTGTTCTGCTGTGGAATAATCCTCTTGTATACCATAAAGATTTGTCACTAGAATTGGTTTAATAAAATGCTGGTTAGCCAGTAGCCAGGCAGGAAGTATAGGTGGGGTGACAAAACTAAGGATGATGGGAAGAGGAAGGGTGGAGTCAGGAGTCACCAGTCAGACGCAGAGGAAGCAAGATGAGAATGTCGTACTGAGAAAAGATACCAAGTTATGTGGCTAAACATAGATAAGAATTATTGGTTAAGTGTAAGAGCTAGTCAGTAATGAGCCTGAGCTACTGGCCTAGGATTTACAATAATATAAGCCTCAGAGTGATTATTTGGCCGTGTCTACAGGACAGGCAGGACATAGAAAAGCCTCCATTTATACTGTTCTGTACTGCTCTGTTCTGTTTTACCTGTGTGTGTATGCAGAGGCCAGAGGTCAACACTGCATGTCTTCCCCTATCACTTCCCCACCTTATTTTCTGAGACAGAATTTCTTATCGAACCTAAAGCTCACCAGTTTGGCTATTCCATCTACCAGTCAGTCTTGGGGACCCTCCTGCCTCTGCCCTTATCCCCTTCTAGTACTGGGGTAACAGCTGCTTGCTGCCATTCTGAGCTTTTATATGGTGCTGGGTATCCAAATAGGTCCCCTTGCTTGTTAAGCAAACACTTTACCTACTAAGTCATTTCCCAAGCCCCAGGTCATGTATGAACTCTGGATGAGTGTGTGGATATGTGTAAGTGGTCACATGGAAACCCGTCTTGTCTTCTCTTTTTAAGTCAGTTCCTCCAGGCATGACTTGGATGATATCTTTCTACCGGTCACCATGACCCTGTCCTCACTGACTGGGGCAGTTTACACAATGTTACAACGAGGTATGCAATAACGGTGGTTGGCCAAAGTTATATAGCAATTAAAAGGAGTCAATTATATATTTCTTGAAATTCTAATTAAGAACTCTCAAATGGATGTCTCATTTTCATCATTCCGAGAGCACTGATACAAATGAAAAACGTTTTGTGAAAACTCAGCCATGCGTCAGCAATTATATTTAATTCTCAGTTGAGTGAATTTTAATCAGCAATGTTATTATAGGCACACGTGGCAGAGATTGTCACCCTTGCTGTGAGAAACAGACCCTTTATTTATGGGGTCTTGGACTTCATTACCTCAAAGTTCATATAGGCAAAGAAATACAGTAAAATCATCCCTGGATCAGAAACCTGAGTCTTGGAACTGGTGAGATGGCTCAGATGTTAAGTGTGCTTGCTGCTCTTCCAGAGGACCCTAGCTCAGTTTCCAGCATTCATATTGAGCAGCTTACAAATACCTGTAACTCCAGTCCTCTTCTTGACTCCTCAGCCACCTGCACTCAAGTGCCTAACCTCCTCCCAAACATACACACACACACATATTATAAATAAGATAAATCTTTTAAAAAATTAAACAATTAGTTAATTTTAAAAAGAGAGCTGGGAGATGGCTCAGTGGTTAATACACTTACTGCTTTTTCAGAGAACTCAGGTTCAGAACCCGGCACCAACATGGTGCCTCACAATCTATTACTTCAGTTCTAGGAGATCTGATGACTTCTTCTGACCTTCAAGGTCACTACGCATACACGTGTTACAGAGACATATATAAAACACCCATACATATAAAATAAATCAATCTGTAAAAAAAAGTCAGGTTGGATATGGTGGTGCATGCCTTTAATCCCAGCACTTGGGAGGCAGAGGTGGGTGGTTTCTGTGAGTTCAAGACAAGCCTTGTTTACACTGAGAGTTCAAGGTCAACCAGAATCTTATAGTGAGTCCCTGAATTAAAAATAATCACTGTAGAAAGCGGAGTCCTGGGACAGGAGGTCTGGTGAAAAACAAAATGTGCAGACTGGGAAGCCCAGCTTGTCACCGAAAGCCATTTTGAGGTGACACGCAGGTCACCTGCTGGAGCATATAGATTTAGTGCACATACCATCCATCTTGGTGGGTTTTCCCAACCAAGCACACCTGCACAGACAGCACCTGATCTAGGAGCGGCTGGTGTCAACAGCCGGCATGCTTCTGTGATCCCCAGCCATGAGCAGCACCTGTTTCCCGACTTCCTCTGCTTTCTGTAGGGATCCCATTGTTCTGTGCTCTCTTCACATACAGACAATGAGGGATCACGGGCCTTTTTCTATATGGAGTTGTGGATGGGATGCCCCTACTGTGAAGTCCTCCTTGTTGCTCAGTGTGCAAATAGATCATTGTTTTCACTGTGAAGCAAATGTTCTGCAGTTTGTCTACTCATCCAGCTGTGGCTGGACCACAGTCTCCTTCCAGTTTGGGGCTGCAGGGAATCACGCAGCTGTAGCGAACATTCTTGTTCTCTAGCTGGCGTATCCTTGAACTTACACTGGATATTTACCTAGCACTTGGGAGATTGGTGGCTTCTTAAGTGGCCTCCTCCTTCCTGTGGCTCTGTGAACCAATGCTCTGATGATGGCCTGTGACATCATAAACTCCAAGTCAAGGGGCTGGGGAGATGTCTCCACTGGTAAAGTGCTTGCCTTATACGCATGAGGGCCTGAGTTTTGGAGTCCCACACATATGTGAAAGGCTGGACATGCTTCATATGCCTGCAGTCTCTGTGCTGGGGAAATAGAGACAGGAGGCTCCCTGGGCCTTGCTGACTAGCCAGTCTAACCAAATCAGTGAGCTCCACGGTCACCCTGTCCCTCAAACAGGTGAGGAGTGATTCAAAGAGACACCAGATGCCCCCCACCACAAAGTCTAAGCCACCCTGTCCTGTACACAAACATGTTAGTAGTGCTGTATTCACGGAGTCCATGGAGAAGGAATATATAGTACTCTGCAGTGTCTGGAACCTCAGATGGGAACACTAAAGCTGGGGTCACTCTGAAACGTCCAGGTGCATCTTTACTTACATGGCTGAGGTCTCCCCAGGGTGATCCAAAGACCGGGACTGATGATCAGAGCTTTCCCATGGTTTCATCACAATCCTAGATGACCTCAACATGACCAGACTTCTTACATGACTATCCTAGGCTCCCTGGCCAAGGAACAGAGAAAGGGAAGGCTCATAGTCAGAAGTGGGCAGGGGCAGCATCTCCTCTGCCACTGGTACCATGCAAGATAGTTCTGAGCTTGCCCACGTTTGGGAGATGGGAATGAGAGGATGCTACTGTGAAAAGGATGCATTGCAGAGTGCTGGGGAAGCTGGTATCTGTGGCCCTCTTTATAAAACAGTCTGCATCCTGCCTTCTCCAAAGCAGAGCCAGAGCCCTACTGCCCTGCTGGGCTTTCACGGTGCCCGTCTGTGACAGCCCACCTGTATCATGAGCAATGCTCACTGGGTCTCTTTGTGGGATGACACTGACCGTGCTGGTGTTGACTGTGTTCCCAGGACCAGCAGACACATGAATGACTCAAGCAAAGACAGCTGTTATTATGAACCCCTCTAGTCTTCACACAGGTTTGAAGTGGCCCTTGCTTGGTGGAATCATGACCCAGCAGAGCCTCCCAGGCCACGGCTATTCTTTTAAGGCCCATGTCACACCATCTACTCAGTGCTGGGTTGTAACCAGGGACACTTGAATGCAAGGTACAGGTGTCCGTGTGACAGGGCACTAGTTCAGATGATGGGATTTACTGTCAATGCAGGGATTAACCCTTTCACATTCATCTGGGGCAGTCAGGGGTAAGGTGCCTCAACAGTTTCAGGCCAGCGGCTCTGCTCAGCTGAGGTCTGTGTCCACACAGGTTGTCTGCTGTGCCTGGGTGTTCACAAGATCCCCTTGATCTCTGTCAAGAATGCGGTATGTGGGAGGCTCATACTCTAGTGGCAGAGAATAGATAGCTAGGGACTCTGCCCAGCTGTGAGAAGAGGTCTACCCTGGGATATCTGCCCCACACACCTGCAAGTAGTACATGCCTGACCAAGGGTCCCAGCTGGACAGAGGTGAGGGCACAGCCCAGGATCAGAGTAGCTCCTGGCCCAATGTCTGTGACAGTCTCTGTCTTGTCTCTTTTTTGTTTCTCATGGCTGCTGCCTCCCCGCATTTCAGCCTTTGGCTTCTGCTTCATTGCCAAGTCCCAGTTTCTCTTCTGACCATCCAGGCTGGATGTGTCTTAGTCCAGAATCTGAAAGAAGATGTGGTTTGGCTCACTTACCTACCCTCACCAGGCCACTGGCCACTCTGGCTCACGCTTCTTTGGACCTGGATAGTTCATGGATGGTTCTTTAGGTAACAGAGATTCACATTTCTATGGATTCCTACTTCTTCCAACAGCCAGTCAGTTTTCTCTGTGATGTCCAACAAATCAGGGACTAGGGAAAGCAAATAGAAATCTTTAGAATGAGCTCTGGACTGTGCATGGTGGGATCAATCAGATGTGAGTCTGGAGCCAGCTGAGAACCTCATGGTGACCCTGTGTGTGTGTGTGGGGGGCGGCTGTAGGAGATGGTCATTAGCACTGGGCAGAATCTCAGGCTGGGATAAGGGCCTGGAAGGTTCTGGAAGCCAGGGGCTACAGCGTTTGTGTCTCTTGGACTGATTATCTCATCTTGCTGGGCCCCAGCCATCAGAGCACAGTGCTGTTTACAGCCCCATGCTTAATCAATCACTTATTCACACAGCTTGAAGATTATAGCTGCTCATTCGCCATCTCCAGTCCGAGTTGTCATGGCGCGTCTCAGGGGAGGCATTGGCACAGCTGTATTAAAGTCATCAGCCTCCTTTCTCCATGGCAACAAACGGGGTGGATGGGAGCCCTGCTGCCTCACTCCCATCAGCATCCACCCACCCACAGGCGTGGCAGGCTCGGGGTGTCTTCACCAGCACCTTCATGCCTTCCAGCCAAGGCTCATAGTCATTGTTGGTGAATGGCAAGCCATCTGTCATCGGGTAGGGCGAATGTGCCCAGCTGTCGCCCCTCAATAAGGCCCTCTTGCTCTTCCTGGGCGATAAGATTCCGTCTATTGTTTGTTTGTTGGGAGTCTGTGAGTGTTGAGCTTGGGTCTACTCTTAAGTTTTATTAATGAGACTAGTGTTTCCAGCCCACTCCAGCGGCAGGAGATGGACAATATGGAGAGGCCAGCTGTCCAGCTGGGAGGGAGTCATTACGACTGTGGGAGGTGTTGCTCCACCATGTTCTGGCAGTGCTGGGGTCTGCAGAGAGGTGGAAAGGGACTTAGTCAGCCTCTGCCAGGTTAATGGTGTTCTCTGAAGTTCTACAGATAAACCGGATCCCCATCCTGGCTGAGGCTGGGTGAGGCACTGCCCTTTACCATCTTCAGCTTAAGACAGTGCACTTTGGGTGTGGGAGGGTCTCGAGGATATGTCTCTAAAAGCAGCATTTTGGATACATCAGAGGGAGCAAGACACACGCAATGGTGGTCTGGTGGCATCCCCCTCTATTTCAACCCCCTCCTCATAGACCCCTTTCTGTGGGATCATCTGGGGGGCTCTGGCTCTTGCAGTCCTTGCGGAGGAGGTCTGAAAACCCCATTTGGTATTTACGCTAGACCAAGCACCCTGAAGACATGTGCAATAGCTCTGGGTATCCATTCTCCTCCATTTGGAAAACTCCATCCTTCCAGTTAAATGTTGCAGGCAACCCCAGAGCTGATGTTCTATTCCGACTCCACCCAGCACAGAGATTGCCTGGGAGGCTGACTGCTCCTCGATGTCCTGGAAGTCCGATCCATTATTAATCACTGTAAATCTGGAATAATCTCTACAAACATATTTTGTTCCCTACAAATATATTTGTGCCAACTTTCTCTAATAAATCTTGTGTCGGGCAGGCTATTGTCTCTCTTTACACAGCATCTCCCGGCTGAAATATTTAAACAATATATGAGCAATAATAAAAATCGCTGGCTGTAGTCACTTTGACTTTAGGAAAACAGGCTCCGATAGGTAGCAGATTTATTACCTACAGAGGGCCCCATTGGAGGTTGGATTTTTTTTCTCTCCCAGTGGATTTACCCTAGTCTTAAAAAAAAAATCACAGAAACAAACCTCATGTTTGTTCCTGACTTTATGCAAAAAGAGTAAGACATTATTCTTTCTAATGAGAAAGGTACAAAGCAACCTCAGGAAGAAAAAACAATAACCTTTCCTAATCTGGCCCATTGTTGTCCCTGGTC